CCTGCCTCTGCCTCCCAAGTGCTGCGATTAAAGGCGTGCGCCACCAACACCCAGCCCTCACATAACATTTTAAAAGAAACGTTTCCAAAATTTTACTTCATCTATGACAACGAAGTGTGCTTTTGTTCTGTTTCTGAAGAAAGCAACAAAAGTTCAAGATCTAAGATTACTTGTCCAAGAAGGATGAAGTTATTACATGTCCCCGTGGCTATGACCAAAAATACCTAATAAAAGCAGGAATGTACTGAGAATAGGCACAATTGTTTAAAATTGCATACCGACATTAACCTAGTATAATGCAAGATACTAAAAATCACAAGCAAATCATCCATTGGAGTTTTATTTGTTAACAAAGTGGTGATATCATTGCATGTCGAATAGCTTCTGGAAATTTCCACTGTAAATGAGAGAGAGACAGAGACAGAGACAGACAGGAGAATGAAAGTGAAAGAGGTGAAACCATGCCTTGTTATCATGGAAACAATTTTGACATTGGAGACCTCTTGAAAGGATTCTGTAGACATCCCAGAGCTAATGAGCCCCATCTAAAAACTAATGTAATTAATTAATTTTTGGTCATGTGTCAATGTAAATCACAAACAAGTGTATTTTTCTCGGATGATATTGTCTTCTCGCCCCTGGACCCTGCTGTGAGAACAGCTGACCGAAAGGTAACTTTGGGACCCCGAGTTTTCGCCATCTAAATTGAGACAACATCCGTTGAGCCCAGGGCGCTCTGCTTGGCCTCAGCCAGTTGAGAGCTTCACGGACGCGTAAGGCGGAGGACCAAGTCCAGGAGGAGGAGCTCCGCCAGGTGACCGCCAAAGATCCGCCTCTCCTCCCTGTCCCGCTGAGGTGACGGCGGCCCGGGAAACACAGGCTGGGCTCCACGCCGCGCACGTTCCCGGAGCGCCCCTACGCGGATCCTAGACGCCTCCTCTGCTCGCTGGTGTCACCCCAGCGTCGCGAAGGGCCAGGCTCCGACTGTCGCCAGGATCCACACAGCGTCAGCGACGCAGGGCCAGGCCGCCTCGGAGACTAGAAGACAACTCGGCTCCCGCCCAAGGGCTGGTGGAACATGTTTCTGGGGACGCAGGTGCGGCACGGGGTGGCAAAGTAGGGAGTCACCGGGAGAGGATGCCTAGGCGGCGGCATTCCAGCATCTAGCTACCGGTCTTTGCTGTCCAGAGTCGCGTCTGCCTTGGCCAGTATCCGACGTCTCCTCCGCAGATTCCGGGAGCAGCTTTTGTTCCTCGACTCTCCCGGAATTTCACCTGCCCAGAGCACCTTGGGTCTGATAGATAAAAAACCGCGCGTGGGGCGCAGTAGCACGGCAGTGTTGGGTGCAACAGGTCCTTGACTCAGTTCCTACTCAAACCCAACCCGCTGAGACAGGGGCTCCCCCTCCCCTTTTTAAATGTGTCTTTGTTACTTTTGTTTTAGTTTGTATGACAGTCGCTAGACTATGTTTCCACTTCTGATCGTACTCAGCCTACTGACCAGACTTACCCTCGCGGTTCCTCTTTGTGTAAAAAGGCTAAAGGATTCCGAACATGCCGGAGAAGAAGGTAAGTAAGCATGGCTGCCGATTGGGAGAAAACAGTTCTGGAAAACAGGAGTGGTCTGCTATGTACATCTCAAGCCGAGGTGTGGTAGGGGGAAATTACACGCCCTCGTGAACCACAGAGCAACAACGTATCGTTTGTTTTAATTTGTGGCTTTCTTGTTTAGGGTTGTGGGGTTTTTTGTTCTTTAACTACAATATCTACAAACTTATCACCGACTCTCCCTTGGTAAACAGATGTTTAACACCTGGCTCGTGGTTAACTGAATTGAAAGACTATTTCGAAGTCTGAAAATCAGTGAGTTGCCTTTTCCTAGATGAAGCTGGGTGGTTAGTTTTAAAGAGCAGGCTGCTTCTTGGAAAGACTGACAGGAAGGCCAGACTTGTCAGGACTTGTTTGTGCACCTCTGGGAGTCCCGGCATAGACTCAGTGATCCTGTCCCCTTTCTGGACGTGTGAGACCCTGAGGAAAGAACTCTACCCCCTTAGTCTTGACCGACTTCCTCTGTAGAATGATGGGATTGGGAGGCGGAATGACCCTTCTGGTCTATTTTTTTTTTTCAAACTTTATGTTGTCTATATAAAGGCAGATGACTGAGAGATAAATGTGTGGCTTGCTAGCCCAGAATTTTGGGTTACAGGTCACAAACGGATTGGTTCCTGCTTCTACTTTAAAAGTCTAACCTATCAAGACCAGGAGACGGAAAAAGCGCCCTAGGCTCTCAGCATCCTTTCCCTAGTTAGTCACCAGCACTTTGAATTTGCTCACACATTGCTGTCCCTTATCCCTTTCTATCACATCCATTTCTGTTGTTGGTTTTTTGTGTTTGTGTTTGTTTTTGTTTTTATTCTTTTACTCTTTGAGGCACCCACCACACAACTTCAAATGAATACACGGAGACTTATTCTGATTTATGAATGCCTGGCCTGAGCTCGGCTTGTTTCTAGCCAGCTTTTTTTTTTAACTTAAATTAGCCCATCTACCTTTTGCCTCTGGCTTTTACCTTTCTATATACCTTTCTTTATTTCTTACTCTGTGGCTTTCTGTGTAGCTGGGTGGCTGGCCCCTAGCATCCTCCTCTACTCCTTTTTTTGTTTCTTCCCCTCTTTTTCTCTTTCGATTTAATCTCTCTGCCCACCTCTTGGCCATTCCACTCTTTATTAGACCAATCGGATGTTTTAGGCAGGCAAAGTAATACAGCTTCAAAAAGAATTAAACAAATGCAACATAAAAGACTGTAACAAATCTTTGCATCATTAAACAAATATTCCACAGCATAAAAGAATGTAACACATATTTAAATGATATTCCAACAACACAGTTCTCAATCCATTTTCACTTGAAAAGGATTTGTTAATAATTCTCCTGACTTATTAATGATGAAGTGTGGTCCCTGATCGTGTGTGTGTGTGTGTGTGTGTGTGTGTGTGTGTGTGTGTGTGTGTGTGTGTGTGTGTATGGAAAGAGTAATACTTTAGCCTAAATAAATCAAATTCTGATGGCAAAATTCTAGGCAGTTGGATAGACAAATTTGAACTAGAGAGAGGTTTTTAGAATGAAAGGAATCCTTGTGCCTCCCAAGCCTCCACCTGTGGTGATGGGCCATGCTCAGTAGGGCACAGATACTGCTCTCTGGGATGATCGTGAGTGCATTCATCTACTTGACAGGCATTAATTGAGTGGTGTTACTGTGACAAACATCATAAAGTAATTTAAAAGACAGACCCAAGTGCAGATGTTTGTGGGAAATGAAAATGGGTTGGGAGCCATATACAAGCACACGCTGTGTCAAGCCCTCTGCTGGTTGCTGGCGTTGCAGAAAGGACTATCTTGTCTTAGAGGAATGTTTGTTCTGTGGGGCAGGTGGGGTAAACAGATGCTCTCCCTAAGCACAGTAACAGAGGTAGGAACAGAGGACAGTGAAGATGGAAAAGAGTAAGTGGCAGTTGCTCATGCTAGAAGAGCTATATGAAACATAGACAAAGTTTCCTGTTTGCAAATGAGACAAAATAAGTGAAAATATTAAAGGCACATTGTAAAACCCCCAGCAGATACCTGAAACCTTAGACAGTACCGAACCCTATGGATAAACAGGCCATACTACCAGGCATGGTCTGTTCAAAATGGCTACTAAATGACTAATGGGCAGGTAGTGCATATACTATGGATACAGTGAACAAAGGGATGGTTCCTATTCCAGACAGAACTAAATAAAAGGGATGGGAGATTTTATCATGTTATTCAGAATGGTGTGCAGTTTGTCTATTCCATATCTTTAGATATTGGTTGACCTGGGGGTAACTGAAACAATAAAAAATGAGATTATGAATATGGAAATACTACTAAAACTGAGGGTTGGATAAGGAGCCCCCAGCAGAGTTCTGTTTAAAAAAATCTTAGAACACTATTGAAATAGAAGGGTCTTATTTAGAAAACATAGGGAAACAGAAGAGAAGAAAAGTATGGAATATTTGAGTAATAGATTTCTAACAATGGACTGCATAGTCAGACAGCCTCTTAGAATTCAGGACAAAAACATAGACTACACTCCCTCACATGCACACAGTGGTCACAAACAAGGAAGGTAGCAGCCCTCACTAGGAGCCCTGGGCACTCTGGGGAAGTTTGCTGTATTCCAAACAGAGGCAAATTTGAAGGTGTTTCTTCTGAGATCATGAGGAAAGCAGAGAAAAATCTGAACTGGCCCTGAAGGTTAAATGTAAGGTTAACCCTGACAGAATTGACACTTTCAGACTTAGAGAGGAGGCAAACTGCAGATCCAAGAAGGCACATTTAAGTGAAGTTCAGTTACAATGTCATGAATAATCATAGGTTGTATTAATGATATTATCATAAATATCATTTCAGGAAAATTAAAAATATTTATAGATCTTTTTCTTTTGTTTTCTAATTAAAAGTAGTTTTAATAGCCTGGTGTGGAGGCACATGTCTATAATCCCAGCACTAAGGAGAATCTTTGTGGATTCAAAGCCAGCCTGGGCTACACAGTAAGTTCTAGGCCAGCTTGGGATGCATAGAAACACCTTATTCAAAAAAAAGGGTAGCTTTACTGGGTCTTAGGGTAAAGATGATAGGTATTTATGAGTCGGGTGATAGAATGATTGTCCATGAGAAAGTTGGCAATAATTCTTTTCACTTTGTTTTGCTTTTCAAAGTAAGATATGATCTCACTCTTTAATCCAGGCTATCCTGCAGTATGGTAATCAATACCTCTTAGTCTTCCAAGTGCCAAGATTGAGGTATGAGCCTCATATCTGGGTTCTCTGTCTCTTTAGCCAGTAAAATGTAAAGATCTGAGCTAGTCTGAGACGTAGCAATACTCATGAGGTTGGGCTGGCAGGCTCTAAGCTGTTTCCCCACTGGTTTCCTCTTTAATCTTCTGTAAATTGAGTTACACCAGCTTTTTCCTATAAATTACTTCTACCTATAGAACTGAGGTCCAAGGTGAGGGCTGGAGAGATGGTAAGAACACTTACTGTACAATCATGAGGACCTGAGGTCAGATTCTAACACCCATATAATAAGTCAATAACCATACACATGCCTGTAACCCCAGCTCTGAGTTAGACAGACAAGAGGACAGATGAAGCCTGCTGGCTTTAGGCCTAGCAGAGAAAATACAAATCTCCAGAGTTCTGGACAAAACCCTGCTTCAAGGGAATAGGTTAAGAATGATAGAAAGGACACCAGATGCCTTCTGGCTTCTGTGCATTTACACTCATACATATTGTTTATTCCCCTCTCTTCTCTCTCTCTCTCTCTCCCTCCCTCTCTCTCTCTCTCTCTCTCTCTCTCTCTCTCTCTCTTCTTCCAGAGGATCTGTGTTTAATTCCCAGAATCCACATGGCAGCTTACAACTGTCTGTAATTCCTGTTCCAGGGGATCCGAGGCCCTCATACAGACATGCCTGCAGGCAAAACACCAATGTACATAAAATAAAAATAATTTTTTTAGAAAAAAATGAAAGGTAATGTTTGTTCACATCATAATTTTTAGGCCTCTCATATGCATGAGCAACCAGTATCTCTCCTTTTGTGAATTCTTCCCACTAATGAAGAGAACATGAACGCTGAAGAGATGGCTCAGTGGGTAAGAGCACTTGTTGCTCTTGCAAAGGAACAGGTTTTGGTTCCTAGCACCCACATGGCATATTACAACTGTTTGTAATTCCAGTTTTAACCCCCTCTGGCTTCTGTAGATGCCTACATATATATGGTCACCTAGGCATATATACTTACCTAGGCATACATACATACACATCAATTAGTTAACTAAAAAAGTTTAAAAGAGAGCATTATGGCAGCAGATGATTAACTGAAGCATGTTAAAAGTAGATTGGGTAAAGTGTTGTCAGGAAAAACAGAATATGACATAATACGCTGATTGGATAGACAGGGGTCAGAGTAACATTGATCTAAACCCCAAAGAAGGTGAAAGAGCAGACTAAAATAAGAAGTTCCACCTCGGAAAAACAGCAAGCGCACAGGTGGGGTGGACACAGTGCAGGGGAAGTGCACACACAGGAAGTTGCAGTCGAAGACACGAGGGAGAGTGGAAGGAACCCAGCCCAGAAAGGCAGGGACCACACAGAAGGGGACCACTAGGTGTAAGGGCTTTGCCTTCTGTTCTGTGGGTAGGGTTGTCATTAGGTGTTTTGGTTGTTTTTTGATGTTGTTGTTATATTCCTTCTTTTTTTTCTGAGACAGGATTTCACTATATACCTCTGGCTGTCCTGGAACTCTCTAAACCAGGCTGTGCTCAAACTCACAGAGATCTGCCCACCTCCACCTCACTAATGCCGGGACTAAAGGCGTGCACCAACCAGCTTTATCTTATTTTATTTTAATGTTTATTTATTATACAGTGTTCTGCCAAGGCCAGAAGAGAGCACCAAGTCACATTACAGATGGTTGTGAGTCACCATGTGGTTGCTGGGAATTGAACTCAGGACCTCTGGAAGAGCAGCCAGTGCTCTTAACCTCTGAGCCATCTCTCCAGCCCTGGTTTATTTTATTTTTAATGTAATATTTTTTATTTAATTCTTTGAGAATGCTACTAGAAGATTTTGAGAAGGCAAAGTAGGAAGTTTTTTGGCTTTTATTTTTTATTATTTTCAGACAGACTTTCACCATGTAGTCTTGATTGGCCTGGAACTTCCAGGTAGACCAGGCTGGCCTCAAACTCACAGAGATTCGCTTGCCTATGCCTTCTGAGTGCTGGGATTAACGGTTTCACCACTATACCCAGAAAAAGGTTGTTTTTTGTTGTTGTTTGTTTTTGTCATTGTCTGTTGTTGGGGGTTGTTGTTGTTTTTTGTTTGCTTGCTTGTTTTTTGAGACAGGGTCTTTCTGTGTGGCCCTGGATATTCTAGAACTTGCTATATAGACCATGCTGACCTCAAACTCACAAATCCTCCTGCCTCTGTCTCCTGAAAAGTTGTTTTTTTAAAAAGGCCTTATAGCTAAATAGATAAAGGCACTTGTTTTCGCTAAGCCTAACAAGCAGATTTGAATCCTGGGTGGAAAGAGAGGACCAGCTCCTGCATATTGTCCTCTGACATCCACAAGCTTGCCGTGAGCATGCCTACATCTACACGTATTTGTGCACAAACATGCATACACACCCACATATTTAAAACACGCATTTGTGCACAAACATGCATACACACCCACATATTTAAAAATTTTTTTTTTTTTTTTTTTTTTTTTTTTTTTTTTTGAGACAAGGCTCTCTACATTTCCCTGACTATCCTGAAACTTACTATGTATCCCAGGCTGGCCTCTAACTCACAGCGATCTGCCTTTCTCTGCCTCCTGAGTGCTGAGATTAAAGTCATTCACCACGACTCCTAGCTAAAACATTAAAAGACTTTCTGTGGCTATTGTTTTAACATCAAGTTTAAAGGAACGAGACCACTTACAAGCCACTGAAGGGGTGCTAGAGAATGGCAATGGAACTTCAGAAAATTCTCTTTCCACTTTCATTTGACAGAGAATGGGGTCTACAAGAAGACAGGGGAGAAGGAACAGAAGTGTTCAAGCATCCTGACCCCTCTGTGTGCCACGTGAGATAAAACAGTTGTTATCAGCTGTTCCATTATCATTTCCCCTTGGTTCCACTAGCCTGTATGTTGCTATAACAGAGAAACTGACTAGGACTGGAGCCTTGGTTCCATGATAGAGGACTATCCCAGCATGGGCAACACCCTGACTTCAGTCACCAGCACTGCCAGGGAAAGAGAGTAAGAAATTAACTCTCTGGAATAACGATAATAAAAGAAATATTATGTTAATCACATAAGTAATTTAATTTTTTCCTAATAGGCATAAATTAAATGGCAAAAATAAGCCAGGTGTGGTAATATGTGCCTTTGATCCTAGCACTCTGGTTTATCTCTGTAAGTTCAAGACCAGCCTGACCCACATAATGAGTTCCAGGCCACGCAGAACCACACAGGGAAACCCTGCCTCAAATAATTAATTAATTAAATCAAAAGTAGAATAGTAGAATAGTGAGCAAAAAGAAATATGTGTAATAGATTTTAATAATGTTTTTATTTCATCTAATATCCCAGAGCTTATTCAAAGTATACACAATATCTAACTTGCCTATGTTCTTTCATATTTTTTTCAATATGAAATCTAAAATTCTCTGAGTGTTTTCTATATCAGTTAGACTATCCACTTTTTAGTGCTTAGTAGCCATATATGGCAAGGAACTCGTACATTGGCCAAGACAGATCTAGAAGATTCTAACCTAGTTAGTTAATGTACAGAAAAAGATCTTGGGCAGATATGAATATTCTCTTGACCAGAATAATGAATGGCCAGCCTGAGATTACAAAACTCACAAATCATATCCCCCCCCCGTCCGTTTTTCCCCCTATTTTGCTGTGTAGCCCCCCCGTCCGTTTTTCCCCCTATTTTGCTGTGTAGCCCAGGCTAACTTTTAGTTGACGCTTGTCCTTCCTCAGCCTCTCACATGCTTTACCTTATTACATTTCCCATCTCTTTCTCAGTAAATGTGGAAGAAATGCCACAGGGTATTGTGGATACCTATCTGGAGGGTGGGATGAATGGGTAAAAAGACCTATTCCTTTGGGATGGACAAAGTAGTTCTAAGTTAGTCTTCTAACTAGCCTATAATTTTATAAACAGGAGTTTAGAGTTCTATCCTTTAGCATAAGCTTATATAAAACCTTCAATGTAGAAATATTAATTTGAGGCCTGGGAGATGGCTTAGTGACTAAGTGCTCCTGCTGTGCAGCCTGACTACTTCAGTTTTGATCCACATCAACCATACAAAAGCCAAGAATGGCCACACATGCACCTGTAACCCTGTCATGGGAAGTAGAGACGGCAACTTCTGGGAGTTTGCTTGCCAGTCACCATACCCAAAGTTAGGAGAGACCCTGCCTCAAAGGAGTAAGATGGAGAATGATAGAACAGGGCACCTAACATCCTCTTCTGGCCTCCAAATGGGTAGGTGCACCAACACACGAGCACATACATCACACACACACACACCAAAAGTGCATACTAACTTATCATTAAGGCCATAGGTTGGATTCTAGCACTAAAAAAGAAAAAAAAAAAAAGAAGAAGAAACAAGGAAAAGTCATAGGGAAACAACCTTTGGAAAGAGTCTCATCTGTTATTTTCAGGAAAAAATAATCACCAGGAAGGAAAACTGAAACTTTTTAAAAATTTTTTTACTTTTTTTTTTATGTGCATTAATGTTTTACCTGCATGTATTCTTATGTGAGAATACATTCTTATGTGTCAGATCTTGGAATTACAGACAATTGTGAGCTGCCATGTGGGTGCTGGGATTCGAACCTGGGTCCTCTGGTCAGTGCTCTTAACCGCTGAGCCATCTCTCTGACCTGAATAACTGAAACTTTAATAATTTTTATTTATGTTAATAATTTGGAGCATAAAAATAAATTGGGGCATAAACAACCCTTATGATAATGATTTGGGGCATAAAACAATAATTTGGAGCATAAACAACTCAAGTATTGTCTAGAATTGCCAACATATTCCAGAAGCCATTTTACTGATGCTATTTGGGAAAGGGGGGATGCAATCTGAAAGTCACCCAGGAGAGGCTGGTATAGTTTATCCATATCCATATCCATAAAGAGAATGATTTTTTTTCTCTCCAGTTAAAACAGGAAGTTTCTGCCTCACCCTTATTGTATTTGAAATCTTTTTGTATTTCTTTATTAGTCTTTGTGTCAAAAGAAGCTGCCAACATCTTTATGCACCGCCGCCTCCTGTACAATAGGTTTGATCTAGAGCTCTTCACTCCCGGAGACCTGGAGAGAGAATGCTATGAGGAGTTTTGTAATTATGAAGAAGCCAGAGAGATTTTCAGAGATGATGAAAAAGCGGTAATTTGTCTAGTGATGTTATTTCATTATATTTTGAGGAAGTGGAGATAAATACATTATAGACCCGTGTGCTTTAAACAAAATCAAACTGTATGCCTATCACCTCTTCCCACTTCTTAAAATGCTTCGAAGTTGGCTTTGTTCTTATGTAGCTCTCATTTATAATAATTAGCAAATCATGAGCTAAGTGGTGATTTTGTATTTAATCTTTCTAAAATTTAATTATTTATTTATTTATTTGAGACATGGTTTTTTTGTGTAGCCTTGGGTATCCTAGAACTTGCTATATAGACCAGGCTGGGTACAAACTCCTGCCGAGGCCTTTCAAGAGCTGGAATTAAAGGTATGTGCCACCATGCCTGTCCATGTGTTTAATGTTTACTATATTCAGAAATAGTCTCAGGGCAGAGTGAATTTCAGTTCCAGGTGTTATTTGAAGATGGCTCAGAGGCCACGGCACTAGAAAGCCAAGCCCTTGGGTTCCATCCCCAGTAAATAAGACATCATTGGAGTCAGTACTTGGGCTTGAGTGTCAATCATTTAAGAATAAGCACAGTTTTTCCTCTTACTGATCTTACCCTTTTTTGCTGCCTATATCTATAGTTCAGCTATTGGTGGCGCATGCTTTTAATCCCAGCATGCAGGAGGCAGAGGCAGGCAGATCTCTGTGAGTTCAAAGCCAGCCTGGTCTACGGATCGAGTTCCAGATCAGGCTCCAAAGCAATACCGAGAAACCCTGTCTCAAAACACCAAATAAATAAATAAATCTATAGTTCAGCTACTTATTGACAATCTCCTATGTGCCAGGTACTGAGGATGTTATGTATTTGGTTTTTTTTTTTTAAGAGTTATTTTATTTATATATGTGTATATATGAGATGCTTATCATCTGAGTGCTGGGGTCTGAACTCTGGTCCTCATGATTGCACATCAAGCTCTCTTAACCATTGAGCCATTCACCAGCCTCTGGCATTGAGGATATAAAGTGGTGTTTAAGATGTTATTGATTTGTCTATGTAGTTTAAGAGAGGATTTTTTTTTTTTTTAGTTGGGAGTCTAGGTAAGTGGAGATCCTCCTGCCTCTGTCTCCTGAATGCTGAGATTAAAAGCATGAGCCACCATACCTTGCATAAGTGGGGGAAAAGACTTTTTAAAAAGTTAATTCCCAGGGTGGTGGTGGTTCATACCTTTAATCCCAGCACTTGAAAGGCAGAGGCAGGCAGATCTCTGTGAGTTCCAGGGCAGCTTGGTCTACAGAGCGAATTCCAGGACAGGCTCCAAAGCTACAGAGAAACCTTGTATCTAAAAAACAAAAACAAAAAAAACAACAAAAAATTAATTTCTGATTTTTTTTTGTATGCATATAAGTGTTTTTTCTGGGGCTGGGGAGATGGCTCAGAGATTAAGAGAACTGGCTGCTCTTCCGGAGGTCCTGAGTTCAATCCCCAGCAACCACATGGTGGCTCACAACCATCTATAATGAGATCTGGTGCCCTCTTCTGGCCTGCAGGCATACATGTAGGCAGAACACTGTATACATGATAAATAAAACTTTAAAAAAAAAAAAAAAAGAACCTGTCTCTTTAATAAATAAATAAATAAGTGTTTGTCCTGTGTATGTCTGTGCATCACATGCTTGCTGGTGCCCAAGGAAGTCAGATGAAGGATTCCCAGTCCATATGGGAGTTACATATGGATGGCTGTGATCCACAGTGTGGGTCCTGGGAATTGAACCTGGGTCCTCTTGCAAGAGCAACAAGTGCTCTTAATCCACTAAGCCATCTCTCTGACCCCCAATGTTTGTTTGTTTTTTTTTTAAATCTCAGTTAAAATAAATTAAATCCTGCCTGTTAATCTAGATAATACAGTAAACAGACAGGAAACACTGTGCCTGCTATAATAGGGAATCTTCTGGAGGAGTGCTAAGTGCTTCATTTCCTCAGTATGAAAACAATGCCAGCTCCTGCTCTCCCTTCTTAAGCATCCTTCTTTGCTCTTTGCTGAATAAGAAGCTCCCCAGGGATCCTTCAAATTCTAGTGAGGAAACCTAGTTATTCATTCTTCTATAATCCTTCCCAGCCACTCATGTCCTATAAATATTTACCACATGTAGGAGATGGGAAAACAAAAAATATACTTTGTAGTTGTGCCTGTTGAGATTTAATTATGTTTTTCATAATTAAAAAAATTATTTTAAGCTGGGTAGTGGTGGCACACAACTTTAATTCTAGCTTTCAGGAGGCACAGGTAGGTGGATCTCTGAATTTGAGGCCAGCCTGGTCTACAGAGTGAGTTCCAGGACAACCAGGGCTACAGAGTGAAACCCTATCTCAAAAAAAACCAAAAAATAAAAAATAAGAATTGTACTGATTTAATCATGGCTCCTTAAAAGTCTTCTATTCTTTCAAAGCACATAGAACTTGAACTGCTTCAGAGATAAGTTTGCAAGTCAGTAAACTCACCTCTCCTAGCAAACCGAGCACCACTCCCCGGTGCAGAAAATCAGACACTTTCACAGATGGCCAGCCTAGCAGGACATGGTAATGGAGAGCTGGGACTAGCAGCAATCCCTTCACTAACTGAACAGACAGCAGAATGAGTCATTGCTGTCAGCTTGAATGAACTGGTGTCCAGCCTGTGTCACATGCCAAGAGCTTAACACCTCCAATCGAGGTCATTGGGAACAAATGAAATGATTCTAAATTATAGAAATTTGACAATGTCATCCTTTTTTCTTAGATTACATTTTGGCGGGATTATTCAACTAAAGGACCAACCACACGATCCGGTAAGGTGAAGAACTGCTGACATGACATACTATCCTCACCTCTCACCACTGTAACACATTTTAGTTTTGATGTTTGAGTTTGGCTATTGCTCAACATGCATTCCAAGGACGGTTTCTCAATTAAATGCTGGGCTGTGAGAGACAGGAGGCTACATTCATCTGTTTCATCTGTTTGCATATTGAAAATCAAGTTTGGCCAGATATTAGGGAAATGAGATAATGGGCTTAAAGGTTGTTTAAGCAGTTGGGCTAAGTTAAAACTTGCACAAAAGTAGAACTCTGTTAGTTTCAACTTATAAACTGGCATAACTTTTTCTTTTGTTACCACTATAAGTGAACAGAATACCCATGATATGTAAATGAGATTGCTGGATAAGGCTGAAGGTAGGGCTGGGGCTGCAATGTAAGTTAAGAGTGCTTACCTAGCAAGCTCATGCCCCCAGGCTTGATCTCCAGCAGGAACATACATACAGGCCCTCAGGCTTGATCTCCAGCAGGAACACACATACAGGCCCTCAGGCTTGATCTCCAGCAGGAACACACATACAGGCACTCACCCAGGCTCAAACCCACAGTGAGGATGTAGCTCAGTTGGCAGAGTGCTTGCATGAAGCCTCAGGTTTGAGCCACAAAACTGGCATAAAATGAGTATGGTGGTGTACACCTGTAACCTTATTGGTCACCCTCCTCAGCTACATAGTAAATGGGAGACCGCAGCCCTCACCGCACCTCTGGAAGCAGGAAGAACAGAATGACAGAAGCTATATCTCAGAGGTAGAATACATGCAACACACACACAAAAAAAAAGAATAGAAAAAGGAAAACACCAGGAGGAGAGTATTAGAAGTCATAGCTTATGGAAAGGGAAAGCCTCTGTCTTGAAATAAACAAATAAATAATCAAGTATGAAATCCATCTTAATAATGTGTTACATTTATTGAAATTGTAGATGATACTTCCAGTCATGCTATTAACTTGTTTTAATGTTTTGTTTTGTTTTTAACAAAGATGTTAACAAAGAGAAAATCGATGTTATGGGCCTTCTGACTGGATTAATTGCTGCTGGAGTATTCTTGGTTATTTTTGGCTTATTTGGTTACTATCTGTGCATCACCAAGTGTAATAGGCAGCGATATCTGGGGTAAGTCAAAATATTAACTTCTTCGGTGTTCATTCTAAATTGTTATTTTTAAGTGGGTCAAACTGATAGCCATTTGTTTTGAAGTTTTTACTTTACAAATAATCCTAGATAACCAAGAAGATTGCTAAGACAGTACAGAGAATTTTTGCTCGGTTTCTCCCATTATTACCAATTGTGTTACCATAGTAGATCTGTCAAAACTAAGAAAACAGGACCAGAGATAAGGCTCAGTCAATAAAGTCCTTTCTACACAAACATAAGCCCTGAGTTCAAATCACCAGCAACTAGAAAAGCTTGCTGTGACAGCATGAGCCTGTAATCCAGCTTCAGGGAGGTGGGGAGAGAGGCTCCCTAGGGTTTGCATGCCAGCCAGCCTGCCAAGCTTAATCAACAAATTCCTGTTCAGTGAGAGACCCTGTCTCAAAAAGCAAGGTGGAGAGTAATTGAGAAAAACACTGATGTTGACCTCTCTCTCTCTCTCTCTCTCTCTCTCTCTCTCTCTCACACACACACACACACACACAATTGTAGCACCATCATAGCACCATCATCAACTAAACTCTAAATTTAGATTTTTGCCAGTTCTCTGTTAGTGTTCTCTCTCTACTCCAGGACCTGTTAAGGCCCTACACTACATTTAGTTATGTCTTCCCACACACTCTAGGCTGACAGATCTTTAGTGTTTTAACATCCACATTAACCGCCTGATGATACTATTTCTAAAAACTTGTAAATGTATTTATTTACTTAGTGCATATGTGTGGGGGCACCTGTTTGCCATGGCAAACATATGTTAAACTTGCTATTTCTAAGATCCTTCAAAAGAATACAAGATGTAGTGTAGCTGCTCAGAGCTACAGTGCTAGCACTCAGGAGGTAGGGAGATAGGATTCAAGCTCTATACCACTCTGAGCTACATACAGAGACTAGTCTCAAAGATCCAAAGACTGTGGAGCACCTGCCAGCATGTACACACCACTCCTTTTGACACCACTGCCCCATTATTTTCAGAAGCAGAAAGCCCAATAGTTTACTGGGTCATAAACTTAGCAGATCTGTGTGGCATTCAGGGACTGGGGGTATAACTCAGTTGGCAGAGTGATTGCCTAGTATGCATGAAGCCCTAGGTTCAGTCCCCAGTACTACCAAAGCCTGATGTGGTGGCACATGCCTACAAATACCAGCACTAAGGAGGTGGAGTCAGGAGGATCAGAAGTTCAAGATCATCCTTGGCTACATATGGGAAGTCAGTGTGGGACATATGTCTGGGACACTTTGTTTTAAGGTTGGGGGGGGGACTTCTGGCTTTAACCTATTATTGGTACCTTAAAATTAATAAAATGAAATTATTACCAAGTAAAGATAAATAGCGCATTAACAGAGATCGGTAAGAATACATAGGGACCATAATTATTTGCAAAACCATCTTGGTTAGGGTTTCTACAGCTCTTATAAAAAGCAACTTGAGAGGAAAGGTTTATTTGGCTTACAAATCCCGGGACAGAGTCTCCTGAGGGGAAGCAAAGGTGGGAACCTGGAGACAAAAACTGAAGCAGAGGCCATTGAGAAACTCTGCTTACTGGTTTGTTCTCCCTGGCTTGCTCAACCTTCTTTCTTTATTTTCTTTATTGATTTTGATTTTTGTTTTGTTTTGTTTTGTTTTTTATTTCTTTCAAGAAAGGATTTCTCTGTGTAACAGCCTGGATGTACTGGAACTTGCTCTGTAGACCAGGCTGGCCTCAAACTCACAGAGATCCATCTGTCTCTGCCTCCTGTCTTAGTTAGGGTTTTATTGCTGTGAAGAGACACCATGACCACGGTAATTCTTACCAAAACAAAAAACAAAAAAAGACATTTAATTGGAGTGGCTCAATTACAGTTTGAGAGCTTCAGTCCATTATCATCATGGCAGGGAGCATGGCGGAGTGCAGGCAGACGTGGTGACAGCTACAACTTGGCTTTCAGGCAACAGGAAGTTGGCTGAGACACTGGATGGTATCCTGAGCATAGAAAACCTCAAAGCTCACCCCCACAATGACACACTTCCTCTACCAAGGCCATATCTACTCTAACAAAGCCACACTTCCTAATAGTGCCACTCCCTATGAGATAATGGGGGCCAATTACATTCAAACTACTATACTTCCCAAGTGCAGGGATTAAAGGCATGCACCACCACTGCCTGGTTCAGCCTGCTTTCGTTTTTTTTTTTTTTTTTTTTTTTTTTTTAAGACTTATTTATTTATTCATTGCATATACAGTGCTCTGCCTGCATGTAGGCCTGCAGGTCAGAGAGGGCACCGATCTTATTATAGATGGTTGTGAGCCACCATGTGGTTGTTGGGAATTGAACTCAAGATCTCTGGAAGATCAGGCAGTGCTCTTATCCTCTGAGCCATCTCTCCAGCCCCCAGCCTGCTGTCTTATAGCATCCAGGACCACCTGCCCAGGACTACTACCATCTACAGTGGGCTGGGCCCTCCCACATCAATCATTGATCAAGAAAATGCCCTACAACCTTGCCTACTAACCTGTCTGATGGGGGCATTTTCTCAGTTGAGGGCCCCTCTTCTCAGATAACTTTATCTTCTTTATCTTGTGTCAAGATAACAAAAACTAACCGGCTCAGTTGCTGATCATAGCGATTTGGTGTGGAGACATTTTTAAAAGGAACACCAGGTGCTAAGCAGGTTGCTGGTATTGATGCTTGCATATTCCCGCTCACACTTTAAAAGAGGGTGCTGCAAACCAAACTCAGTTCCCTGGAAGAGCTTTGTATGCACTTAATGGCTGAGCCATCTCTCCTTTGAAATGAATGAGAAAAAAAAAAAAAAAACTGATTCCCTTAAAAGTTTCATAATATCTTTTTCTTTTGACAATTTTATAACTTTGGCTATTAGTTTGTGGAAATTATCATTTTAAAGGTTACTTATTTAAAAATAAAAATCCTTTACATGAGACAGTAAATATAAAGGATACATTTCTCCACAACATTTAGTAGAGTGTTTTTTCTCAGGGAGTAAGGATATAGCTGTTAGTCAAGTTCTTACTTAGCATCCAAAGGTCCTGAGTTTGATTTGTAGCACCTCATAAAACGGGGATGGACTATGTCTGCCATCCTAGCACTTGGGAGGAAGAGAGAGGGGACCAGAGATGCAAGAGCATCCTCAACAATATAGCCAGTCCAAGGCCAGCAAAGCATCCCCTCTTGAAGGTTTAAAGGAGATCACATTAGTTCATCTGAGAGAATCACTTAAAAGTTATTTCTATCACTATATGAGTGTCTCAGAAGGTATTGATAGTGAAGATTAAGGTCTTCAATTTTTTTAACCTATCTTGTGCCCACAGAAGCAATTGTTTAGAGTCCTGAGAGATGGCTCAGCTATTAAAATTGTATGGTGCTCTTCCAGAGGACCTGACTTTGATCCCCAGCACCCACATCAGACAGCTCACAACCACCTGAAACTCTTGCTAGGGGTGGGGAGACAGGACAGGACTCCAACTGCACCTGTACCATGTGTACATGCACACACACACACACACACACACACACACACACACACACACACACACACACGAGAAAAGAGAAAAGGAAATAAAAGAAAAGGAAAGAAAAGAAAAGAAAAGAAAAGGAAAGAAACTGTGTGGATTTGGTATGCACATTATATGTTCTCATTTGCAACTTAATTTTGGTATTTAATAATACAATTTAAATGCATTTCCAGACTAGTAGTTTGCATAAATAAAATCTATCTTCTTTGTTATTTGTAAGTACGTTGTTCAAGTTCAGAATTCACCTGCCTTTATATCACCTCCAGCACCATGTCTGTGAACCCAGCCACTCCCCATCTTCTGTTCAAGTCTCCAGCCTCCCAGCCCAAGCTCGCTACCATCCTACTTTCCACCTCTGTGAATTTTACTACTCTGATCTCACACAAGTAGAATCACACAGTATTAGTCTGACTGGTTAACCTGGTACAGAATTTTCAAAACATCTTGTAAACTTGCATTCACCACTTGATTTATTTTCTGGCATATTACTGTAAGATATGATTCCGTGTCTAAATGGGATGTGATACAGTGATTTATTTGAGGTCATGGGAGCTGAAATGCAACGTTCAGATCCCTAGTACACAACTGACTAGGCATTTGCTCTTGGACATGTATACCCCCATAATGATCAAAGCCATCATGCATCATAGTTCCAGGGGAACAGACATGTGAATGATGTCGTTTGGTATTGTGCAGTGTGTCGGCCCAGATCATTAGGTGCTTAAAATAATGCTTGGTGTATAGTACTAAACAAGTATGAGCTATAATTGTGTTTATTCCTTTTTGAACTCAGGTTGTTCCACAGGTTTGAGAAAGAGTGCTCCTATCTGCCCATGTAGTGTTTATGCTTTTTAAAAATAGCCTTCAACCCAAGTGTATAGCTCAATGGTAGAGGACCTGTGTAACACATGTGAGACCCTGGGTTCAATCCTCAGCATCTAAATGAATAAATGAATGGATGAATAAATAAATGAATAAGTGAATGAATAAATAAATATAGTCCCCAGGGGCTGGAAGCTGCAACTCAGTGATAGATTGCTTACCTGGCACGTGTTAAGTCCTGAGTTCAATTCCTACCACCACAAAACAACCAAGCACAAAACCTGTTCAGAGCTTGTACTGATTGTAGATTTACCCAGCATCCATATGTCCATATGAAATTTAAATTGAGATGTATCATAAGTAAATTTTTTTAAAAAACTCAGTAGATTACAAAATATTAGCCAATGAATCTCCCTAGTCCCTGTATAACTAACTTCTGTACTGCTTGTGTCTAGACATGGACTGTTGCTACTGTACATCTGCTATTCAGCGTGTTCTGTATTTTTTTGAAAGTGAAAGAGAGGTGTTCAAGGAAGACATAAAGTGATTACCATTTGGTGACAAAGAGGGAGAGAGGAAGGAAAGAGAGAGGAGGGGAGAGAGAGAGAGAAAGAGGGAGAAGGAGGGGGAAGGGAGAGAGAGAGAGAATCCCCGTGGAACAAGAGGAATAGAAGGTTTTTTGGAAAAGGCTTTTGAGAAGGCAGTACTCTGTTCCATCCTGGGAACAGTGGTGGCAAAAGCAGGCACATCGCTTAAATAACACACAGCCAAGCAGGAAGAACCTGCAGGGTAGAGGAGTACCCATTGGGATGCCTGTATGGGCCTCCCGGGGAGGTCAGGAGTCTGGACTTGTCTGAGGGAAAAGATGCTGAGAGACTTGATGGCTGGTAGAAAGCTGCGGGACATAAAGGAAGAATGTGAGTCTTGACTTCTGGCTGAAGGAACATACTTGAAGACTGAGGGGGGGAAAGGAAAATTAGATTTGACAGAATAAAATAATATTTTATTTCAAAGATTTTTTTTTCCGAGATTTTGTTTTGTTTTTTTGAGACAGGGTTTCTCTGTGTAGCTTTGGAGCCTATCTTGGTACTAGCTTTGTAGACCAGGCTGGCCTTGAACTCACACAGATGTGCCTGCTTCTGTCTCCTGAGTGCTGGGATTAAAGGCATATGCTGCTACCACATGGCTATTTTAAAGATTTTAAAGATAGACCAAGGGAACCTGAAGAGATGGCTCAACAGTAGCACTGGATACTGATATAAAACAAAACAGGTTGGTTTTTGTTTTTTGTTTTTTGTTAAAAAAAAAAAAAGGTAGGTGAAGGAAGGACAAAACAAAAGACAGCTATAAAAAGATAAAGGACTTGAGCTGACATTTCTCCGAAGAGGACAAATGTCCAACAGACACCTGAAATGACAATGAGCATGCTGGAATTACACATGCCTATGCTACTGTGTCTGTCTGGCTTTTACAAAGGTTCTGGGAATCCAAACTCAGATCATCAGGTTTTCAAGCCAACTCCCTAGACATATGTTAACTGTTTCCCTTAGTGGCAAAAATACTATACGCATGGATTAGAGGTTAGTCAAGATTGTCTGAATTGACACTTTATAGTTAGCCAACTTCATAGTCTAAACAGCTCAATATACTAACATTTAAATTGTAGTCTGTGGACTGGCAAGATGTAGTCAGTGGGTAAAGGCACTTTCCACCAATCCTGATAACCCAAGTTCAATCCTTGAATTCTACAAGATAGAAAGAACTGACTGACAAAGTCGTTCTCAGACTTCCACAAGCACACTGCAGCATGTGTATGTATGTGTGTGTGCATGTATATGATATACACATATAAATGTAATTTAAAAAATTTTAATGTAGCTTGAAATTCAAAGGAGAGAATGGAAAACCATAGGTTGAAAATGTCAGACCAATGTGGCATTTTAGCTTTCACTGGCTGATGAGGTTTTGTGAAATTGTTAGGATTTTTTTTTTTAGGTGTAGTGGTACAAATCTGCAATTCTAGAACTCAGAGGGATATGCTACTTCAATACCAGTTACAATAGTGAGTTCAAGGCCAGCTCAGCAACCTGAAAAGACCCTTTTCCCAACAATTTAAAATGACTGGAAATGGTAGCTCAGTGGTACAGTACTTGCCTACAAGGATGCCCATGACTCCGGCTCAATCCCAGTATGGAGTGAAGATGGCAGAAGAGAGAAGGGGGGTTAGACTTGGTGTTTCAGTGCTGAGGGTGGAACCCAGGTCTTTACACACACTAGGCTTTACTATGTTCTTGGCCAAGAATAAATAGGCTTAGGTAACTAAAGTTGGAAAAAGAAACAGCATTCCTAGAATGGAACAATGCCAGTCAAGGCACAGAGAAGTGGGTTGGGGGTGTAGTTAAGTTGGTAGGTCTCTTGCCTAGCATTTATAAGGTCAGTGATTCAATCCCCAGCACTACATGCCTATAATCTCAATACTGAGGAGGTAGAGGCAGAAGTTTGAGGCCATCCTTAACTACATAGTGAACTGGAGGCCAGCTTGAGCTACATGACACCCTGTCTCAGGGGGAAAACAGAGCGGAGAGAAAAGGGGGCCTGAGAATTCTATATACTTAACAGAGAAGAAAGCTATGAAAAATGCAGTGAGGCCAGAATAAGGGAGGCTTTGTAAAGAGGGTTCAGGAGTTACATAGCCATGGAAAGCAGGCCATGTCTAGATTACATGGCAGAAATACTGCTTGGGGAAGGGTCAAGGGTCAACCAGGCAACAAGACTGCAGAGATTACCTCTGTGGCATCTATCTCCTTGCATCAAGCCACCTCACTACAAAGCCTGGATTTGAATTCCAGAGGAGGAGGAAAAGGGATTCACTCTGTTGGAAGTATTACATCAAATCACCTACTCAGTCCACACCAAACACTCTGTTGAGGTAGCTTCATTACCCCATTTTAGAGAGGAGGAAACTGAGTCAGGGAGCTTGACTTTGATCTCAAGATGACAGAGTACAGTTTTTGACCAGCGTCTGATTTCAATACTCTTAGTCTTCCGTTCTTTCTTTCTTCCTTCCTTCTTTCTTTCCTTTCTTTCTTCCTTTTCCTAGACACAGTTTCTCTGTGTAGCCCTGGGTGCCCTGGAACTCACGATGTAGATCCAGCTGGCCTCAAACTCACAGAGATCCACATGTCTCTGATTCCCTAGTGCTGGGATTAAAGGAGTGTGCCACCACTGCCTGGCTTCTGAATTTTTAAAGCCATTATCTTAACCCAGAAATTCACCTCTCTTAAACCTAAATGTCATCTCTCTGTTTAGTTCTTCAGCTGTCTACACAAGAAGGGCCCAACACACACCCTCCGTCATTTTCAGAAGCCCTGAGGAGACTGTCTTGCCTTCATCTCCACCTTCAGAGGATGCAGGACTACCTTCCTATGAACAGGCTGTAGCAATGACCAGAAAACACAGCGTCTCACCACCACCTCCATATCCTGGGTCAACAATAGGATTTAGAGTGTTTAAAAAGTCTATGTCACTACCATCTCACTAAGCCCACCTTGTCGCCTTGCTGTAAGGCATTCATGTGGTTTGAATGATTTGTTCTCCCTGAAACAAAAAGAAATTTTGCCTGTTCAGCTTTTTGCGACAAACTGCAAGGAATAAAGGAACAATACATACTGAATATAATTCACCACAGTTCTGCCTTCAGCTAGGAACTGAACTGGATCTTCATCATCTTGGTAAGAGACTTCAACTCCATTTCCTCAACATAAGAAAGTGCCTTTTTACAATTTATGTTGTACTGGTTCAAAAATCTTTGCTATAGCTGGATAATGTGATGCATATCTAGAATCCCCACACTCAGGAGGCTGAGTTGGGAGGGATGAGGGTTCAAGGCCAGCCTGGGCACTATCAAGACTCTTTCTCAAAGCAAGACCAAGTTTGTTATTAGAGTAAGCAAACTCGGAAGCATCAATCATTATCTCAAGTCATGGTATTGGATCTTCTCTTCATTAGGATTTCTTTTTGGCTGAAAATACTTTATAGAATTTGACATTTTGGTGTAAACCTGTGACCTTGATATAATCATTTGGTTTTCTGATTTAATTCATACAGAGAATTCACCAAATTTCCAGGTCTTAGTTTTTTACTTGCTATCAATCATGTTTCCCTGTGGTAAGAGGTGACAAGAGGGGTTTTTTCCCCCTAAAAATTACTGTTTGTTGGTTTAGCAGACACCTCACTTGAAAAAGTGCTTGCCATAGAAACATAAAGATCTGAGTTCAATTCTCAGTACCCATGTTTGAAACAAACAAAAACACGAAACAAAAACAAAACAAAAAAGAGTACTTGAATGCATACCTGTAATCCCAGCACTGGGTAGAAGGACATAAGAGGAGCTCTGGGGTTGGTGGCTAATGACTGTAGCTGGATCAGGAACCTCCAAGTTCAGTGAGATACTCTGTCTCAAAAATTAAGGTGGAGCCAGTGAGGTAGTGCATTCCTTTAATCCTAGTACTTTAGAGGCAGAAATCTCTGTGAGTTTAAGACCAGCTTGTTCTACTACATTGTGAGTTCTAGGACAGCTGGGAAGCATGCCTCAGAAAAACAAAAACAAAAAATAATGTCCAGCAGTGGTGGCACACGCCTTTAATTCCAACCCTCGGGAGGCTGAGGCAGGAGGATCTCTGTGAGTTTGAGGCCAACCTGGTCTACAGAGAGTTAATTCTAGTATAGCCAGGGCTACCCAGTAAAACCCTGTCTCAAAAACCATAAAAATTAAAAATTAATTAACGTGGAGAACAATTGAAGAAGATACCAATATTAGCTTCTGGTTTCTACATACATGTGTTTGTATGCATATGCAAATGTATAACATTGAGTTAGAAGTTTAGTGTTAGAATAGTAGAGGCAAGTGATTGAGAACTTGCTCCATATGCATGAGGCCCTCCTGGGTTAGATTTCCCAGAAATATTAACTGAAGTCACCAGAAAGCCTTTGCAGTGTGTGTGTGTGTGTGTGTGTGTGTGTGTGTGTGTGCGCGCGCGCGCGCGCGCACGCGCGCGCAGTGAGATCTGGTACCCTGTGCTGTCATGAAGGCAGAAGACTGTATACATAATAAATAAATAAAAATTAAAAAAATAGTTCAGTCGGGCGTTGGTGGCCCACGCCTTTAATCTCAGCACTCGGGAGGCAGAGGCAGGCGGATCTCTGTGAGATCGAGGCCCGCCCGAGCTCCAGAAAAAGTGCCAGGGAAGGCTCCCCAGCCACACAAAGAAAACCCGTCCTCAAAAAACCAAAAAAAAAAAAAAAAAAAAAAGTTCAAAAAAAGGTTACTAGAAATGACTTTGCTCACTTTGTAATAATCAGAGTTAAGGCATGAAATCTACTAGGTTTGTAAAAGCTTGGTTTTCAATGAGTTACTCACTTTTCTAGTCCCTGCTCATACTTTACAAGAGAGTATAATCCCAAGTGTATAGGGCAAGGAGACATATAAAGATATGGGAGAGTTGGAGAGATTGTTCAAGTGGCTAAGAGCATTTGCTGCTCTTTCAGGGGACCCAAGTTTGGATCCAAGCATCCATGTGGTGCTGCTCACAGCCACCTATAACACCATCTCCAGGGTATCCAATATCTTCTTCTGGTCTTTTCAGACACCTGCACTCATGTGGCATACACTCACACAGACATAAAGTTAAAAATATATTATTTCTATTTTATTTTTTTTTTTTGAGACACGGTTTCTTTATGTAGCCCTGGCTGTCCTGAAACTCTGTCTGTGGACTAGGCTGGCCTGGAACTCGAGATCCTCCTGCCTCTGCCTCTCAAGTGCTGGGATTAAAGACGTGTGCCACCATACCTGGCCTTTAAAAAAAATTATATCCAGTGCTGGGCATCAGAACCCAGGGCCTTGCTCATGGTAGGGAAGAGTTTTACCCCTGGTCTACACGAACCTCCATACCCTGCATCTTCTACTGAATCCTAATTTGAAATGTTCTATTGACTCCCCAGTCTAACCCCAAAATTAGCTTCAGGACCTGTGACAACCTCACATTGTCCCACTAGCAGCCTTACATTTGTCGTCTATCCTAACTTGAAGGGATCTCGATTTCACCACTAAAACTGTGAAATCACTGTTATTTCTGGAGCATCTAGATGTCATGATAATTTGAATACAAACTGAAAAATGTAACAGAACCATCATTAACAAGCACCTGGAAACTGAAAGGGAAATTTCTCAATGTAAAGCCACTGACATAGACTTCCATCCCACTGACGGTTGGTATCCTTTCCTGTGATGTGTTTGATACTGAGTTGTTTCTTGTTTCCTATGGTTACTGTGGGCATTTTAGTCTGTTGTTTTGTTTTTTGCTTCTTCTCTGAGGAATGGATGGATGTTAAACATGAAATCTGTTTCATTTCATTTATATATGACTAGACCAGTTTTTCTTTCAGTTACAATTAGGAAGTGAATAGAATATGGCTATAATTAGATTTGAAGGAGACAAAGACATAATTATAAAACTCTATATTTCTTAGAACAACAACAAAAAAGAGCACAAGCTTCGGCTGTGGGAGTTGTGCATCTGCGTGAAGAGAGCGGGAAGGGATGCTCTCAGAACAATGCCGAGCTCTGTGCCTGTGGTTTCCCACTTACCTCCAGACTTCTTTCTTCTTTGTGGTGGTGTTGGTGTTAGGTATCAAACCCAAGGCCTTGTACATGCCAGAGAAACACTCCAGCAGTGATTTGTATTAATGTCCCTTCCCACCTGCATTGGTCTCCGAATTTCTAATCAGATTTTTTTTTCTATTTCTCATATAATTTATTTGTGTGTATACTCCTCCTAAATGTGCAAGAGAATTTTAAGGCTAAAAGATTTACTTGTGCTTAACAAACACTCATATTCGTAATATTTTTGTTTTAATTGAATGTGAATTAAACTTTACTGGTTGTTTGATCTCAAATGTTATGAATGACATTTATGCTATTAGAGGAATGTCTAATATTTCTGTAATTTCTTTTTAAAGATTAGGTTTTTGCTGGGAGGTGGTGTTGCATGCTTTAATCCCAGTACTTGGGAGGCAGATATCTGTGAGTTCGAGGCCAGCCTGGTCTACAAGAGCTAGTTCTGTAAGACCCTCAGAAGCTCAGGCCTCCAGGTTCTCAGCCCAGGACCTCGGTCACCCCAATCACCAAGCAGATTCGAAAGCTTGATGCAAACCGCATGAAGCTTTATTAAACGAGCTAACCCCAAGTTAGCTTGGGCCTTCCATCCATCCACCATGGCGGATGGCTAGAAAAGACAGCTCGAAGCGTCTGTATAGAGATCTTGTAGGGCAGCATAAGGGGAGTGTCTAGGGGCGCGCACAGGCTCAGGATTGGTGTGGCTCCAGGCTTGGAGGGCTTGCCCTGTGTTGATTGGTCAACTGGTTGTTATGGCCCATAGGCCCTCCCAGGGTGGTTGCTATGCTCTGCACATCATTGCTGTGCACTTGTATGTAAAGCACACCCAGAGTCATAAAGCATAGCTCCACCAGCTAACTTCTGATTGGTTCCTTGCCATGAAGCAGGCATCTGACCTCCTAGTGACTACAGCAAGATCACACAAGCACGTGTTTGGCTGTTATGGCTGCCAAAATGGGGAGCTGGTCCCTTCAGTTCCAGGATAGGCTCCAAAGCTAAACAGAGAAACCCTGCCTCAAAAAAACAAAAAGCAAAACAACAAAAATGTGCTTTTGGGACTGGAGAGATGGCTCAGAGGTTAAGAGCACTGGCTGCTCTTCCAGAGGTCCTGAGTTCAATTCCCAGCAACCACATGGTGGCTCACAACTATCTGTAATGACATCTGGCTCCCTCTTCTGGCCTTCAGGCATACATGTAGGCAGAACAATGTATAAAAAAATAAATAAATAAATCTTCTTTAAAAAAAAAAAAAGATTAGGTTTTTGGAGATAGGCATGGTGGCATATGATGAGAATACCACTACTTGGGAAGCTGAGGGAAGAAGATTGATGCAGGTTCAAGGTCAGCCTTCAGTACAGAAGGAGACCCTGTCTCAAAAAGAAAGAAAGAGTGGGGGAGGGGATGGAGGGAGAAAGAAAGAAAGAGAAAGAGAAAAGAAAACCAAAGGCAAACAAATGAAATATTATACTGGATTGAGGGAACAGTGGTAGAATACACACTTAGCTTACCCCAAACACCTGTGTTGATCCCCAACACCAAGTGAACAAATTTAAATAATGGACTGAAGAGAAGGGTCAGTGGGTAAAGGCACTTGCTGCCAAGACTGATTACCTGAGTTCAATCCCCAGATCTCACAAAGTTGGAGGAAAGAACTTAACTCCTGCCAATTGGTCTCTAATGACTTCCACATGTGTGCAGTGACATGCATACATTCACCACCCTCCAGTCAGTAAATAAATGCAGTTAATTTTTTAATTAAAATAAGGTAAAAATAAAAATAATTACCCTTTGGAGATATTCTCTCTGGTCAGCTGGAACATGTATGATATATATTGATGTCTTCAGTCTGATAGACTGTGTTTCTACCATGTTTTGGGTTTACAAACATTTCCATAAGGTTGGAAGTTAACCAGAACAGATGTATCAGTATTTGCATTATCTGGAAAAAGCAACACATTTTTTAATGTATAGCTTTCCTAAAACATTACTGTATTTTATTTTAATGAATTTCTTATTACATTTACTTTTTATACATGTGAATAAACTTTGTACTAAGTAATACTTACTGTGTATTCTATAATGACTTGCATGTGATATTATGCAGGTTAAGGCTGACCAACTAATTGCATGTTTTCAAAATAATGTTTATAGCATATATATACTTGATTTGCCTGGGTCAGCATCCTATTTAAACAACTGAGCTACAGTTGTATGGGTGTTATTGTTTAATAAAGTTTTAATGTTTACTATGCCATTTGAGGCAAATATATTACTCCTTAAGACTAAATGTATGTGTGTTGGAATGTGGCCTAGCATGTGAGAATGCCTGCATCAGACCCTTAACTCAGCCCCAAGCCAAAAAACACCTCTTCCTCTTTCTACAGCTTAATAGTCAGCTCTTTTCAGCACTGAATAATACACATTTGTCCAGATGGACCACAGTTTTTCAGTCAACCCTCTGAAGTATATCACACTTGCTTTCAGGTTTGGCAATTGTAAATAAAGACACTATAAATAGCCATTTGTAGGTTTTATGAGGGCATAAATGTACCTATGATTTAACTAACAGGTGAACAACCACTGTTTTAACATGTTTGTGCTCTGACAGTGATATCCCATTGTGGCTAATGATATGTACCTAAGGTTCTTCCATGTCTTCTCATGACTTGATAACTCATTTCTTTTGAGTATTAAATAATATTTTACTGTTTGGCCAGCCTGGCCTACATAGAGAGTTCCAGAACAGCCAAGGCTATGTAGAGACCCTGTTTCAAAAACAAAACAAAACAAAAAACAAACAAAAAACCACTGCATTGTCTGAGTCTACCAAGTTACTTATCTGTATCCATTACTTTCCTCACTGTTGAAATGAAATACACAACAAAATCGACTTAAAGAAGGAAATGATTCTGGCACTAGGGAAATTTCCAGAGATCTATAAGGATGACACCAACTAACAATCTAAGCAATAGTAGAAAGTCTACCTTAAATGCCCTTCCCTGATAAAGAGATTGATGACTACCTTAAATGCCATCCTAGAGCTTTCATCCATTAGCTGATGGAAGCAGAAGCAGACACCCACAGCTAAACACTGAGCTGAACTCCTGGAATCCAGTTGCAGAGAGGGAGGAGTGATGAGCAAAGGGGTCAAGACCAGGCTGGAGAAACCCACAGAAACAGCTGACCTGAACAAGGGGGAGCTCATGGACCCCAGACTGATAGCTGAGAAACCAGCATAGGACCGACCCAGACCCCTTGAACGTGGGTGTCAGTGAGGAGGCCTGGGCAATCTATGGGGCCTCTAGTAGTGGATCAGTACTTATCCCTAGTATAGGAATGGACTTTGGGAGCCCATTCCACATAGAGGGATACTCTCTCAGCCTAGGATACCCTCTCTGCATCCCTCATTCAGTTTGGGACCCCGGGGATGCTGGTATAGCATGGGGAGGGGGGGTCTTCCCTCCTCAGTTAGGCCTGTCTAGCAATTCCCTCACAGACATGCCTAGGAGTTTGTCTCCTAGGTGATTTTGTATCTTGCCAAATTAGCCGTGGAATTACCCAGTCACCTTATGATTCCTTCCAAGATTGAGCATAAGAGTATCTACACTTCTGAAAGCTCAAAGTCCACCCCCAGTGACACACTTCCTCCAACAAGGCCACACCTACTGTGAGATTACACCTCCTAATCCTTCTCAAACAGTGCCATTCCCTGGTGACTAAGCATTCAAATATATGAGTCTGTGGGGGCCATTCTTATGCAGACCACCACAAGCATTTTTATACCTTTATTTTAACTCAGTTTTGTTTCTTTATTCAACCTGGAGCTGGTGGAAGATTCAGTAACTGTTTAGGTAAGCTACCTACCTATAAAAGACATACAGTTAAATTAGAGACTAGAATGAAATCTCAAGCAGTAGCATAAGCCATGCTTCTCCAGAAACAGGAACCCAGGAGAAAGATTTGGGCACAGGTAATTTACTTCGGAAGGAACAAGAATAAGCAGGGAGCCAGGCGTTGGTGGCGTACGACTTTAATCCCAGCACTTGGGAGGCAGAGGCAGGCGAATCTCTGTGAGTTCGAGGCCAGCCTGGTCTCCAGAGCGAGTAAGCTACACAGAGAAACCCTGTCTCGGAAAAAAAAAAAAAAAAAAAAAAAAAAAAAAAAAAAAAAAGCAGGGAAAGGAAAGAGACAGAGACGAGGGATCAAAGTATATATGATTGAAGTCATTGCTGTAATCAACATAGTTGCCTTAACAAGGAAACCACTGAGAAGGGAGCAGAGTGCCTTCCAAAACAGTCTACCTGGAGCTGAGAACCTGGCACATTTATTTATTGGTCACCCTTCTTCAGTAATAGAGGGTTTCTCCTGATAGAGAAGCGTAGGCAGTTCCTTCGAGTTCCACTGGTGTCCAAAACATCAGAAAGACACACACTACAGGATCCTGGGGTAGGAGCCTGAGAGCATAAAGTAAAGGGTCTGCTACAAAATGTACTAACCCACATTCTCTGCTTATTTTTTTTCCTGTGTGTGTAAGTACTTGTACACTTATGTACATATGTATAAGGAAGACTTGAGCTATCTTCCTCAATTGCTCTCCACCGTTTTTGTTTGTTAATCTTGATTGACAATTTAGCAGGATTTAGAATCACCATGGAAACAAATCTCTGGGCATGTCTATGCTGGATTACCAAAATTAGTTTGAGGTAGGAAGACTTGCCCTAAACATGAGTGACATCATTCCATGGGCTGAGGACCTAGACTAAATAAAAAAGAGAATGCGAGCTGATTTCAATTCCAGGAAAACCAATGCTATTTTCTGGCTCCTGCAGACACCAGGCATGCATGTGTGCATGAAGATATATATGGGAAAAACACACAGAAAGGGGGTTGGATAGATGGCTCAGAGGTTAAGAGCATTAACTGCTCTTCCAGAGGTCCTGAGTTCAATTCCCAGCAACCACAGTGGCTCACAGCCATCTAAAGTGAGATCTGATTGATGGGGAATATCCTTCTGAATGCTATGAATGTATGTTTCTCTTATTTGTTGATGAATAAAACTGTTTCAGCCATTGGACAGACAAAAAAGTATAGGCAGGGCCACCAGACTAGGAGAATTCTGGGAGAAGGACTCAGGAAGGAACTTGCAAGGAAGATGCCATGTAACTGCCAAAGGAGTAACATGCTGGAGCATTATGGGTAAGCCACAGCCTCATGGCAATACATAGTTTAATAGAAATAGATTAATAGTTAAGAGAGAGCTAGTCAGTAAGAAGCCTAGCCATCAGCCAAACAGTTTATAATTAATATAAGTCTCTGTGTGTTTCTTTGGAACTAAATGGCTGCAGGACAGGACAGGACAAAAACTGTCTACATCTGATGCCCTCCTCTGATGTGCAAGCAAACATTCAGACAGAACACTATATACATAGTAAATAAATAAATAAATCCTTAAAAAAAAACACAAAATAAATACATCTTAAAATTTTAAAAAGTTTATAGCCATAGAACCAAGCAACTGTCAAACTTTTCTTTGTAGTGTGTAGGGTTCAAAGAAAGTAGACCTACTTTGCTAGCAAAACCATGAACTAAAATAAGAATCTATAGATTCTTATTGGCATAAATAAGTAATAAGTAAGTAGGTTGGAGTGATGACTCAGTAGTTGAGAGCACTGACTGCACTTCCAGTGAATTCCCCACACCCAGACTGGTAGTTCACAACCATCTGTAACTCCAGGTCTAGGTGATCTGATGCCTTCTTTTGGCCTCCACAGGTACCAGGCACATATATGCTGCACAGACATATATACAGGTAAAACATGCACATAAAATAGAATAAAAAAAATCAAATGAATAGGATAAAAAAAAAGTTTCTCCTTATAGAAGAATAGACAGTAATGATTGTATGGCCATACAAGAAATGATGGAATTAGGAAAATTACTCTTTGGTAACTGTATTAGTTACTTTTCTGCAGCTATGATGAAACATGACCAAAACAACCTATATAAGAGTTGGGGGGGCACTTATGGTTCCAGAGTGTTAAAGTCCATGATGACAGAGTGGAGGCAGCAGGTGGCAAGAACTAGATCCTGGGAGCAGAAGCTAAGGGCTCACAAAGGAGAAAGCATGCTGAGAATGGCTCAAGCTTTTGAAATATATCTCTCTCTCATTTTCTTTTCTTTTTTCTTCTTTTTTTGTTTTTGTTTGTTTGTTTGTTTGTTTTTCGAGACAGGGTTTTTCTATGTAGCTTTGGACCCTATCCTGGCACTGGCTCTGTAAACCATAGCTGGCCTTGAACTCACAAAGATCTGCCTGCCTCTGCCTCACGAGTGCTGGGATTAAAGGCATGAGCCACCAATGCCCGGCCTCTCATTTTCTTTTTAAGATTTATTTATTATATATACAGTCTTCTGATGGTATGTATGGCATTATAGATGGTTGTGAGCCGCCATGTGGTGGCTGGGAATGGAACTCAGAACTTCTGGAAGAGCAGCCAGTGCTCTTAACCTCTGAGCCATCTCTCCAGGCCCAAGGTTTTGAAATCTCAAAACCAGTCCCTAGTAAACATACTTTCTTTAGCAAGGCCACAGCTCCTAAACCTACCCAAATAGTGCCACAAATTCCGGACCAAGTGTTAAATGTCTGAGCCTATGGGGGAGTTTGAGGCCAGTCTGGTCTACAGAGTGAGTGCCAGGATAGGCTCCAAAGCTATACAGAGAAACCCTGTCTCGAAAAACAAACAAAAAAATCAAATTTGAAATGTGACCTCTTCGAATCTTTTCTACACAATAGTTGGGCTATTTGTAAAACAGGAAATGTGTGGATTTTTGGAGTACCTTTTTAATTAATCAACCACCAAATTCTGCATTTCCCAACAAGTTAATGAATAAAGCCATCTCAAAGGAGATGGGGCTCCAATGTTCTCTCCAGCTGAATCACTCTGTTACGTGGAAGGCACATGTGTCTAGCACTATAGCTATAAATGAGGCCTAACATAAAATTGCAAACATACCTAGAAAGTTAAGAGACTGGCGGGGAAAGGTTACTTTTTAAAACTTGACTGTGTGATTCTCAAGTATGAATTTTGTAAAAGATAGTGTTGTTTGGCAATATCAAAAAGTTGGACATGAGCCTGAAAGATGGCTCAGTGGGTAAAGGTACTTGATTCCAAGCCAAAAGATCTGAATTCAATCCCTGAGGCCTCACTGATGGCAAGAGAAAACCTACTTTTGCAAGCTGTCTTCTGACCAACTACATGAGTGCTATGACACAGGTAGGCCCCACTTACACATACACATTGTATAAACACATAAACACAAACATATAATTAAAAAACAAGATTTACTTATTTTCATGTGTATGAGTGTCTTGACAGCTGTGAGCTGCCATGTAGATGCTAGAACCAAATCCTGGTCCTCTGCAAGCGCAGAAAGTGCTCTTAACCATTGAGCCATCTCTCCATCCCACTTGGTTTTTGAGACTGAACCTCAGTGTAGACTTGGCTGACCTGGACTTACTTTGTAGTCCAAGCAGGGCCTGAAACTCACAGAGATTCGCCTGCCTCTACCTCCTAAGTGTTGGAACTAAAGGCAGGTGCCACCACACCAGGCTAAATGTAATCATTTGAAAGAAGAAAGGTTATACTCTCCTGCAACAGGAAATCATAGGATATGGGCTTGTTACTTATAAAATGAAGTTATAAACTAGTTCATCTAACTCCAGGCTTCCTACGAGTTCAAATAATGATTTCAACTACAATGAGGGCAGAATGGGAAATGCGGAAGATTGTTTGTGGGCATATTTTTTTAATTATTTATTATGTGTACAGTGTTCTGCCTGCATGTCTACTTACAGACCATAAGAGGGCACCAGATCTCATTGTAGATGGTTGTGAACCACCATGTGGTTACTGGGAATTGAACTCAGGACCTCTGGAAGAACCAGTGCTCTTAACCTCTGAGCCATCTCTCCAGCTCCTGACATGTATTTTTTTAATGGT